AGTAAGTCCCTAATGCGTCCTTCAAAACAAAAGCTAAAAATCTCCCATAAGCCTTTGCAGCAGCAGTTACTCCACCATTTCCTCCTTTAATAACCGCTCTGTTCCCCGCTCCCTCTCGGCGCCCACTCCTCGGCAGCGTTTACAAATTTCCCGTGATTTACAAGGTCATAAAACGCACCGCCTCCCCCTGTTTAATCAAGCCTCCGCCGCACTTACTCTATCACTACAGAGGCTAAAGCTAACGCCCACACGCCTCTGCTGCGGCTAGCACTGTCCAGGAATGTAGAGTTAGCAAGACGCGACAGAGCGACCGAGCTCCAGGTCCACAGGAAATTATCTAAATATTTTATGGCACAAATTGGACCCAAGGCGTGAAATTTAAATATAATAGCTATAATTAAAGACGTATAAACTATATTCTACGTTAGCATTTGTGGTCGTCTCTCTGATCTCTTTGATTCTCTGATCTATTGTTTAATAAGATCAATAAAGTCTATCTTATCTTAAAGTCCTCTGAGACGCTTCACATTTGCACAATGTTAATACAAATTGCACAACGCTGCCGTATCATCCACATATCACAGATTCAGAAAATTGTGGGTCAATGTCTTTAAAGTCTATATTTTAAAACCAGCTGCTTAAATAAATGTATAAAATAAAGAGTGTGTTCCCAAGGGGCCCCTCTACAGGACTGAGGCGTGATGGATCAGTATGGTACAGCCTGATAATCGCTTTGGCACACACGCTAACACGCTAACACGCTAACACACTAACACGCTAACATGCTAACACGCTAACATGCTAACACACTGACATGCTAACACGCTAACATGCTAACACACTGACATGCTAACACGCTAACACGCTAACACGCTAACACACTAACACGCTAACATGCTAACACGCTAACATGCTAACACACTGACATGCTAACACGCTAACACGCTAACATGCTAACCCGCTAACACGCTAACATGCTAACACGCTAACACGCTAACATGCTAACACGCTAACACGCTAACACGCTAACATGCTAACACACTGACATGCTAACACGCTAACACGCTAACACGCTAACATGCTAACACACTGACATGCTAACATGCTAACACACTGACATGCTAACACGCTAACATGCTAACACACTGACATGCTAACACGCTAACACGCTAACATGCTAACACGCTAACATGCTAACACACTGACATGCTAACACGCTAACACACTAACACGCTAACATGCTAACCCGCTAACACGCTAACATGCTAACATGCTAACACGCTAACACGCTAAAACGCTAACACACTAACACGCTAACATGCTAACACGCTAACATACTAACACGCTAACACACTAACATGCTAACATGCTAACACACTAACACACTAACACACTAACACGCTAACATACTAACACGCTAACACACTAACATGCTAACATGCTAACACACTAACACACTAACACACTAACACGCTAACACACTAACACACTAACACACTAACACCAAGCCCCGGCGATTCAAGATGGCGCCGTATTCAAATGAATGGTTGTGCTCAGTGGCGCTTTGTGACGGCATGGGGGCTGAAAGATTAGCGGAAGTCGCCTGAAACTCGCAAAGATCTATGGGAAACTCGCCTGTATTTGGGCATCGTCTGGTCCTCCCGGTTCTGCGCAGTGGATGATCTCCCATAATGCATTGCGTCAAACACGCGTGTGTGGGTCTCACACCGGGTCTCACGCACGTGCACAGAGGGTCTCACGCACGTGCACAGAGGGGCTCGGCTCTGACCAATCAGAGCAGTTCATCAGAGCGGGAGTTAGAGCCAGAGCCAGACGAGCAGAGTTTGTGGCACTAAAGTGTGGATTTAAACAAAACCGAAGGATTTAAGAAGAAAAAAAGTTCAGGACGACAAGGGACACTAACATCCCCACAAAATCCGACCTTTATGAAAGCTGTAGGTTCTCTGTCAGGTTCTCTGTCAGGTTCTCTGTCAGGTTCTCTGTCAGGTTCTCTTTCAGCTGAGGTTGAGCTGTTTTAATATGCATTGAGTTCTATGGGGAAAATGTCTGGGTAGCCCGCGTGAATTTAGTCTGGTTCAGTCTGGTTCAGTCTGGTTCAGTCTGGTTCAGTCTGGTTCAGTCTGGTCAGTGGTTCAGTCTGGTTCAGTCTGCAGTACCGCGAGAATCCCCTGAGCACGTGAGTTATTCAGCTAAAAGCTAGTAATACCCTATCCAGTTATTATAATACATCCATGACTAACACTGATAAAAACCACCAGCCGTTTGTGCTGCTTCACAAATGGTTAAATCCAGTTTGAGTTCAGTCTGGGTCCAGTCTGGGTCCAGTCTGGGTCCAGTCTGGGTCCAGTCTGGGTTTTCTGGGTTTAGTGACTTGCTTCAATAAAAGAGTGGTTTGGAGCCGAGGCCCGACTCAGAGGAATGATCTTGTTATTGTGAAATTGTAAAAGCTTCAGAGTCGTTCGTTCACAGACGGGGCTTTGTATCCGTCTGGTTTTATCTCAGTGCAGTAGTTATTGATTTCTTACTTTATATCTTTGTTTTTATTGAGAAGGAGAAGAAGAGAAGATGATATTCTTTGGCATGAAGCTCTGTAAACAAACACTAGTCAGTATTATCTGTATGTCGCTCAGTGAGTTCAGCCTGTTACGATAATTACTACTTTGCTAAACGATCTTAGTTGTAGATATTTACCTTTGGGCTGCGCATATTTCATCTTTTATTTTCTTTGCCTGAAGGGACACATTTTTATTCTTGTTTCAGTCGCCGGAAAAGCCATAAATATCATCTGTCAGTATTAGTGACTGGAAGATTTAAGTGCAGAGGTTCTGTGGTCTCTCTCTGGTCTCTCTCTCTGGTCTCTCTCTGGTCTCTCTCTCTGGTCTCTCTCTTTGGTCTCTCTCTGGTCTCTCTCTGGTTTCTCTCTCTGGTCTCTCTATGGTCTCTCTCTCTGGTCTCTCTCTCTGGTCTCTCTCTGGTCTCTCTCTGGTCTCTCTCTGGTCTCTCTCTCTCTGGTCTCTCTCTCTGGTCTCTCTCTGGTCTCTCTCTCTGGTCTCTCTCTGGTCTCTCTCTCTGGTCTCTCTCTCTGGTCTCTCTCTGGTCTCTCTCTCTGGTCTCTCTCTGGTCACTCTCTCTGGTCTCTCTCTGGTCTCTCTCTGGTCTCTCTCTCTGGTCTCTCTCTGGTCTCTCTCTGGTCTCATTGTGGTCTCTCTCTGGTCTCATTGTGGTCTCTCTATGTGGAGGAAGTGGTCCATGCTTCACGCAGCATCTGTCCGTGTCCTCTGACCGTGAAGCTTTGTAATGGCAGCCGCTTCAGGCTCTCCCTCTCTCTCCCCCCTCTCTCCCCTCTCTCTCCCCCCTCTCTCCCCCCTCTCTCCCCTCTCTCCCCCCTCTCTCTCCTCTCTCTCCCCTCTCTCTCCTCTCTCTCTCCTCTCTCTCCCCCTCTCTCTCCCTCTCTCTCTCTCTCACTTTCTCTCCTCTCTCTCTCCTCTCTCTCCCCCTCTCTCTCCCTCTCTCCTCTCTCTCCCCCCTCTCCCCTCTCTCTCCTCTCTCTCTCCTCTCTCTACCCTCTCTCTCCCCCTCTCTACCCTCTCTCTCCCCCCTCTCTCCGTTTTCTCTCCCCCCTCTCTCTCTCTCCTCTCTCCCCCCTCTCTCCCCCTCTCTCCCCCCTCTCTCCTTTCTCTCTCCCCCCTCTCTCTCCTCTCTCCCCCTCTCTCCTTTCTCTCTCCCCCCTCTCTCTCCTCTCTCCCCCCTCTCTCCCCCCTGCCTCTTGCTCCTTACGGTCCCACAGTGTGAGTCCCTGCAGTGGGAGATTAGCAGGTAGAGATTTCAGACTCTAATTAGGCCGGTGTCCTCTGGCTCTGCCGCACACTGACGTCCACACACGGGACACTTTAGTTACAGTTGTCCGGCCCCCACCATCTGATAGGAGCCCCCCAGGGAGAGCGACGACCGCGGCCCGAAACCTTAGATCCTGGAACAGCAGAGAAGAGCCGGGCACACTCCCCCCTCCATCTCTGTGGTCGAACATCCATCCATCCATCTATCTATCTATCTAGTTATCTATCTAAGCATGCTCAAACATCTATGGAGAAATCTCACCTCAGGAGTTGGGAATATGCATGCCTCCTGTGAAACACATATAGAATAAATATAAAAACATAACTGGAGAAAATCTGTGAAGTGGATGTTGTCTCGGTCTCTGGTTTTAAGGTCTGTTCTTTTGTAAAGTGCGAGCAGAGACATGTAAATGTTCAGGGACTGGGAACTGTCCACGGGAAATGAATGAATAAAGTTATAAAAACCAGAGTTTGATGATGGAGTGTTTCACCTTCATGACTCTGACTAACACACTTCAAAGACAAAGTCAGTCTCTAAAGCATCCTCTGTGTTTCCTGCGGCTGTTTTTAACTGGTCCGAATGTGGTCAGATGGAGAGGCAGAGAGGAAGAGGCAGAGAGGAAGAGGCAGAGAGGAAGAGGCAGAGAGGAAGAGGCAGAGAGGAAGTGGAAGAGAGGCAGAGAGGAAGAGGCAGAGAGGAAGTGGAAGAGAGGCAGAGAGGAAGAGGCAGAGAGGAAGTGGAAGAGAGGAAGAAGCAGAGAGGAAGTGGAAGAGAGGCAAGAGGAAGAGAGACAAGAGGAAGAAGCAGAGATACAAGAGGCAGAGAGGAAGCTGGAAAGAGGCAAGAGGAAGAGAGGAAGAAGCAGAGAGGCAAGAGGAAGGGGCAAGAGGAAGAGAGGCAGAGATACAAGAGGAAGCTGCAAAGAGGCAAGAGGAAGAGGCAAAAGACAGAGACAAGAGGAAGAAAGGAAGAGGCAAGAGGAAGAGAGAGAGGCCAAAGTTAAAAAAAACTGCAATAGTAAGTTTCAAAGCCAAAGATGGTGTTGAACAAAGCAAAGGATCATGGTTAATGTAGTTCCAAGGCTGTTATTGTAGATTTCCACTTCTTAAAAGTTAAATTTTCACTGAATCTGTTATTTTCAGGACAAGAAGAAATACTTGGACCGGATCCACAGCTACATGGACGTCCACGCCACGGTCCACGGAACCAGCACCATCCACCTGCCCAGCTACGTCAAGAACCACGGCATCCTCAGCGGCCGAGACCTGCAGTTCCTGCTGCGAGAGACTAAGGTGAGAGACCCTCTGAGGGTGAATGAGTGAGAGAGACTAAGAGAGAGACCCTCTGTGGGTGAATGAGTGAGAGAGACTAAGGTGAGAGCACCTCTGAGGGTGAATGAGTGAGAGACTAAGGTGAGAGCAGGTCTGTGGGTGAATGAGAGAGAGACTAAGGTGAGAGACCCTCTGAGGGTGAATGAGTGAGAGAGACTAAGAGAGAGACCCTCTGTGGGTGAATGAGTGAGAGAGACTAAGGTGAGAGCACCTCTGAGGGTGAATGAGTGAGAGACTAAGGTGAGAGCACCTCTGAGGGTGAATGAGTGAGAGACTAAGGTGAGAGCACCTCTGAGGGTGAATGAGTGAGAGACTAAGGAGAGAGCACCTCTGAGGGTGAATGAGTGAGAGACTAAGGAGAGAGCACCTCTGAGGGTGAATGAGTGAGAGAGACTAAGGTGAGAGAACCTCTGAGGGTGAATGAGTGAGAGACTAAGGTGAGAGCAGGTCTGAGTGTGAATGAGTGAGAGACTAAGGAGAGAGCAGGTCTGAGGGTGAATGAGTGAGAGAGACTAAGGTGAGAGACCCTCTGAGGGTGAATGAGTGAGAGAGACTAAGGTGAGAGCAGGTCTGTGGGTGAATGAGTGAGAGAGACTAAGAGAGCAGGTCTGAGGGTGAATGAGTGAGAGAGACTAAGGTGAGAGCAGGTCTGTGGGTGAATGAGTGAGAGAGACTAAGGTGAGAGCAGGTCTGAGGGTGAATGAGTGAGAGAGACTAAGGAGAGAGCAGGTCTGAGGGTGAATGAGAGAGAGACTAAGGTGAGAGCAGGTCTGAGGGTGAATGAGTGAGAGAGACTAAGGAGAGAGCAGGTCTGAGGGTGAATGAGAGAGAGACTAAGGTGAGAGCACCTCTGAGGTTGAATGAGTGAGAGACTAAGGTGAGAGCAGGTCTGAGGGTGAATGAGTGAGAGAGACTAAGGTGAGAGCAGGTCTGAGGGTGAATGAGTGAGAGAGACTAAGGAGTGTCTGTGTGTGTGTGTGGTGTGTGTGTGTGTGTTATGTCTGTGTGTGTGTGTTATGTCTGTGTGTGTGTGTTATGTCTGTGTGTGTGTGTGTGTGTTGTGTCTGTGTGTTTGTGTTTGTGTCTGTGTGTGTTATGTCTGTGTGTGTCTGTGTCTGTGTGTGTGTGTTTGTGTCTGTGTGTGTGTGTGTGTGTCTGTGTGTGTGTGTCTGTCTGTATGTGTGTGTGTGTGTCTTCCTGTGTGTGTGTCTGTGTGTGTCTGTCTGTCTGTGTGTGTTGTGTCTCTGTGTGTGTCTGTGTCTGTAGGTGCGTGTGTGTCTGTGTGTGTCTGTGTCTGTGTGTGTGTGTGTGTGTGTGTGTGTGTTGTGTGTCTCTGTGTGTGTTGCTGATAAAACCATTGATCTGTGATTTAGTTGCAGCTGAAGCTCTTCTTCTATAAATAGTGGTTCTTTTCACTCAGAGCTTTACCCTCCGCAGGACACGGCCTCTGCTGCCCCCTGCTGGTGCTGAGGCGCAACAGCACATATATACAATACAACACATATATCATTCAGAATATTACCACAACAACACAGTTATGAAAGTCCATTCATTATTGAATAAATATAATACTTTAGATGAAATACTTTAATGGGAGCATGGACTAGAGGAGTTACTCCACTGTTGTACTGACATTGAACTAGTTTTAAAAGTTTGATCCTTTAATGTTTTAATCTTCAGTTTTACAACAACTTCTTCCTTTTCTCTCATGTTTAGTCCTTGATCATTGTTGTGCATAACAACTCGAGCTGTTGTGGTGAAGTAAAGTGAGATAGAGCCATGTTTCTCCTCCTTTTAGCTTGATAATGTGTTATTTATAACTATAATCAGTGATACTTGTACAGGCCTCAGTACAGAGTGTGGGCCCCTCACTGTTCGATTACTACACACAACCAGGCTTTGTGTGTGCGCCAAAACACACACAACCACAGACACACACACAACCAAAGACACACAGACAGACACACACGGTGAAGACACACGCACACACACACACACAGGGAAGACACATACACACACACACACACACAGTGTGTGTTCTCTCTCTGAAGCTAAAGGCTGTGTTCTCTCTTCTCGCAGTTGTTCGTGGGTCTCTCGTTCCCGTACGAGGGTCCGGCGCCGCTCGAGGCTATCGCTAACGGCTGCGCGTTCCTGAACCCCAAGTTCACTCCTCCCAAAAGCAGCAAAAACACAGACTTCTTCAAAGGAAAACCCACGCTGAGAGAAGTGAGGACCCTCCCCTTTGTTATTAGTTATTACTGGAACAACATTTAACTCACACATCATGTCTCTCTGTCTCTGTCTCTGTCTGTCTCTCCCCCCCTCTCCCCCCTCTCCCCCTCTCCCCCTCTCCCCCCTCTCCCCCTCTCCCCCTCTCCCCCCTCTCCCCCCTCCCTCTGCAGCTGACGTCGCAGCACCCGTATGCAGAGGTGTACATTGGTCGTCCTCATGTGTGGACTGTGGACATAGAGAATCCTGGAGAAGTGGAGCGAGCGATCCGCTCCATCCTCAGCCAAAAGGTCTCAGCTGCTCCTGTGTTTATTCATCACTAGTTAGTATCTGTGTTACGCCATAACATGTCCCCCTGAAACACTCCTCCACCTTGGTGTAACGCCAAAACACGTCCCCCATGAAACACAGAGATAACTTCACTTCATTTTGTCATAATTCTCTTTTATGTTTGAACTTAGGAGTTTTTTTGTTCAGTTCGTTACAGACTCAGACCTCTCCTCTCCTCTCTCTTCTCTCCTCTCTCTCCTCTCTCTCCGCCTACTCTCTCCTCCTCCTCTTTCCCCTCTCTCTCCTCCTTCTCTCTCTCCACCTACTCTCTCCTCCTCCTCTTTCTCCTCTCTCTCCTCCTTCTCTGTCCTCTCTCTCCTCCTTCTCTCTCCTCTCTCTCCTCTCTCTCCGCCTACTCTTTCCCCTCTCTCTCCTCCTTCTCTCTCCTCTCTCTCCGCCTACTCTCTCCTCCTCCTCTTTCCCCTCTCTCTCCTCCTTCTCTCTCTCCACCTACTCTCTCCTCCTCCTCTTTCTCCTCTCTCTCCTCCTTCTCTGTCCTCTCTCTCCTCCTTCTCTGTCCTCCTTCTCTCTCCTCCTTCTCTCTCCTCCTTCTCTCTCCTCCTTCTCTCTCCTCCTTCTCTTTCCTCTCTCTCCTCCTTCTCTTTCCTCTCTCTCCTCCTTCTCTCTCCTCTCTCTCCTCCTTCTCTCTCCTCCTTCTCTTTCCTCTCTCTCCTCCTTCTCTCTCCTCTCTCTCCTTCTCTCTCCTCTCTCCTCCTCCTTCTCTCTCCTCTCTCCTCCTTCTCTCTTCTCTCTCCTCCTCCTCGCTCTCCTCCTCCTCTCTCTCCTCCTCCTCCTCAGGACCCACGGTCTTTAAAACAGAGCTTTTCCTTGTACTGATCCGTGTGTGAAGTTTCTGGCTCTGGGCCTGAGTCTGGTCCAAAGAGCAGCAGCTTCTGTTTCACTGAGACTGAGACTGTGTGGGAGGAAGCTGCTTCTCCTGCCTTTAGTTTCACTGAGACTGTGTGGGAGGAAGCTGCTTCTCCTGCCTTTAGTTTCACTGAGACTGTGTGGGAGGAAGCTGCTTCTCCTGCCTTTAGTTTCACTGAGACTGTGTGGGAGGAAGCTGCTTCTCCTGCCTTTAGTTTCACTGAGACTGTGTGGGAGGAAGCTGCTTCTCCTGCCTTTAGTTTCACTGAGACTGTGTGGGAGGAAGCTGCTTCTCCTACCTTTAGTTTCACTGAGACTGTGTGGGAGGAAGCTGCTTCTCCTGCCTTTAGTTTCACTGAGACCGTGTGGGAGGAAGCTGCTTCTCCTGCCTTTAGTTTCACTGAGACTGTGTGGGAGGAAGCTGCTTCTCCTGCCTTTAGTTTCACTGAGACCGTGTGGGAGGAAGCTGCTTCTCCTGCCTTTAGTTTCACTGAGACTGTGTGGGAGGAAGCTGCTTCTCCTGCCTTTAGTTTCACTGAGACTGTGTGGGAGGAAGCTGCTTCTCCTGCCTTTAGTTTCACTGAGACCGTGTGGGAGGAAGCTGCTTCTCCTGCCTTTAGTTTCACTGAGACTGTGTGGGAGGAAGCTGCTTCTCCTGCCTTTAGTTTCACTGAGACCGTGTGGGAGGAAGCTGCTTCTCCTGCCTTTAGTTTCACTGAGACTGTGTGGGAGGAAGCTGCTTCTCCTGCCTTTAGTTTCACTGAGACTGTGTGGGAGGAAGCTGCTTCTCCTACCTTTAGTTTCACTGAGACCGTGTGGGAGGAAGCTGCTTCTCCTGCCTTTAGTTTCACTGAGACTGTGTGGGAGGAAGCTGCTTCTCCTGCCTTTAGTTTCACTGAGACTGTGTGGGAGGAAGCCGCTTCTCCTGCCTTTAGTTTCACTGAGACTGTGTGGGAGGAAGCTGCTTCTCCTGCCTTTAGTTTCACTGAGACTGTGTGGGAGGAAGCTGCTTCTCCTGCCTTTAGTTTCACTGAGACCGTGTGGGAGGAAGCTGCTTCTCCTGCCTTTAGTTTCACTGAGACTGTGTGGGAGGAAGCTGCTTCTCCTGCCTTTAGTTTCACTGAGACTGTGTGGGAGGAAGCTGCTTCTCCTACCTTTAGTTTCACTGAGACTGTGTGGGAGGAAGCTGCTTCTCCTACCTTTAGTTTCACTGAGACTGTGTGGGAGGAAGCTGCTTCTCCTACCTTTAGTTTCACTGAGACTGTGTGGGAGGAAGCTGCTTCTCCTGCCTTTAGTTTCACTGAGACCGTGTGGGAGGAAGCTGCTTCTCCTGCCTTTAGTTTCACTGAGACCGTGTGGGAGGAAGCTGCTTCTCCTGCCTTTAGTTTCACTGAGACTGTGTGGGAGGAAGCTGCTTCTCCTGCCTTTAGTTTCACTGAGACCGTGTGGGAGGAAGCTGCCTCTCCTGCCTTTAGTTTCACTGAGACCGTGTGGGAGGAAGCTGCTTCTCCTGCCTTTAGTTTCACTGAGACTGTGTGGGAGGAAGCTGCTTCTCCTGCCTTTAGTTTCACTGAGACTGTGTGGGAGGAAGCTGCTTCTCCTGCCTTTAGTTTCACTGAGACTGTGTGGGAGGAAGCTGCTTCTCCTGCCTTTAGTTTCACTGAGACTGTGTGGGAGGAAGCTGCTTCTCCTGCCTTTAGTTTCACTGAGACTGTGTGGGAGGAAGCTGCTTCTCCTGCCTTTAGTTTCACTGAGACTGTGTGGGAGGAAGCTGCTTCTCCTACCTTTAGTTTCACTGAGACCGTGTGGGAGGAAGCTGCTTCTCCTACCTTTAGTTTCACTGAGACTGTGTGGGAGGAAGCTGCTTCTCCTACCTTTAGTTTCACTGAGACTGTGTGGGAGGAAGCTGCTTCTCCTGCCTTTAGTTTCACTGAGACTGTGTGGGAGGAAGCTGCTTCTCCTGCCTTTAGTTTCACTGAGACTGTGTGGGAGGAAGCTGCTTCTCCTGCCTTTAGTTTCACTGAGACTGTGTGGGAGGAAGCTGCTTCTCCTGCCTTTAGTTTCACTGAGACTGTGTGGGAGGAAGCTGCTTCTCCTGCCTTTAGTTTCACTGAGACCGTGTGGGAGGAAGCTGCTTCTCCTGCCTTTAGTTTCACTGAGACCGTGTGGGAGGAAGCTGCTTCTCCTACCTTTAGTTTCACTGAGACCGTGTGGGAGGAAGCTGCTTCTCCTGCCTTTAGTTTCACTGAGACCGTGTGGGAGGAAGCTGCTTCTCCTACCTTTAGTTTCACTGAGACTGTGTGGGAGGAAGCTGCTTCTCCTGCCTTTAGTTTCACTGAGACTGTGTGGGAGGAAGCTGCTTCTCCTGCCTTTAGTTTCACTGAGACCGTGTGGGAGGAAGCTGCTTCTCCTGCCTTTAGTTTCACTGAGACTGTGTGGGAGGAAGCTGCTTCTCCTGCCTTTAGTTTCACTGAGACTGTGTGGGAGGAAGCTGCTTCTCCTGCCTTTAGTTTCACTGAGACCGTGTGGGAGGAAGCTGCTTCTCCTACCTTTAGTTTCACTGAGACCGTGTGGGAGGAAGCTGCTTCTCCTGCCTTTAGTTTCACTGAGACCGTGTGGGAGGAAGCTGCTTCTCCTGCCTTTAGTTTCACTGAGACCGTGTGGGAGGAAGCTGCTTTTCTCCTGCCTTTAGTTTCACTGAGACCGTGTGGGAGGAAGCTGCTTCTCCTACCTTTAGTTTCACTGAGACTGTGTGGGAGGAAGCTGCTTCTCCTGCCTTTAGTTTCACTGAGACTGTGTGGGAGGAAGCTGCTTCTCCTGCCTTTAGTTTCACTGAGACTGTGTGGGAGGAAGCTGCTTCTCCTGCCTTTAGTTTCACTGAGACTGTGTGGGAGGAAGCTGCTTCTCCTGCCTTTAGTTTCACTGAGACTGTGTGGGAGGAAGCTGCTTCTCCTGCCTTTAGTTTCACTGAGACCGTGTGGGAGGAAGCTGCTTCTCCTGCCTTTAGTTTCACTGAGACCGTGTGGGAGGAAGCTGCTTCTCCTACCTTTAGTTTCACTGAGACTGTGTGGGAGGAAGCTGCTTCTCCTGCCTTTAGTTTCACTGAGACTGTGTGGGAGGAAGCTGCTTCTCCTGCCTTTAGTTTCACTGAGACTGTGTGGGAGGAAGCTGCTTCTCCTACCTTTAGTTTCACTGAGACTGTGTGGGAGGAAGCTGCTTCTCCTGCCTTTAGTTTCACTGAGACTGTGTGGGAGGAAGCTGCTTCTCCTGCCTTTAGTTTCACTGAGACTGTGTGGGAGGAAGCTGCTTCTCCTGCCTTTAGTTTCACTGAGACCGTGTGGGAGGAAGCTGCTTCTCCTGCCTTTAGTTTCACTGAGACCGTGTGGGAGGAAGCTGCTTCTCCTGCCTTTAGTTTCACTGAGACTGTGTGGGAGGAAGCTGCTTCTCCTGCCTTTAGTTTCACTGAGACTGTGTGGGAGGAAGCTGCTTCTCCTGCCTTTAGTTTCACTGAGACTGTGTGGGAGGAAGCTGCTTCTCCTGCCTTTAGTTTCACTGAGACTGTGTGGGAGGAAGCTGCTTCTCCTGCCTTTAGTTTCACTGAGACCGTGTGGGAGGAAGCTGCTTCTCCTGCCTTTAGTTTCACTGAGACTGTGTGGGAGGAAGCTGCTTCTCCTACCTTTATTGAAGTTTGAAAGTTAGATACCCCAGCTTTAAAGCACACGTCATCACACACTGACCTGAAGTTGTGTTTAGCTCCATCCACACTGTTTTCTTTCTCTAATGTTTACTTTGTTTGTTTCAGATCGAGCCGTACCTGCCTTTCGAGTTCACCTGCGAGGGCATGCTCCAGCGCGTCAACGCCTTCATCGAAAACCAGGTACTCTTCAAACCTACATGTAACTTAGCTCTAACTTAGCTCTAACTTAGCTCTAACTCAGCTCTAACTTAGCTCTAACTCAGCTCTAACTTAGCTCTAACTCAGCTCTAACTTAGCTCTAACTTAGCTCTAACTCAGCTCTAACTTAGCTCTAACTCAGCTCTAACTTAGCTCTAACTTAGCTCTAACTCAGCTCTAACTTAGCACTAACTCAGCTCTAACTTAGCTCTAACTTAGCTCTAACTCAGCTCTAACTCAGCTCTAACTCAGCTCTAACTTAGCTCTAACTCAGCTCTAACTTAGCTCTAACCTCAGCTCTAACTCAGCTCTAACTTAGCTCTAACTCAGCTCTAACCTCAGCTCTAACTCAGCTCTAACTCAGCTCTAACTTAGCTCTAACTCAGCTCTAACTCAGCTCTAACTTAGCTCTAACTCAGCTCTAACTCAGCTCTAACTCAGCTCTAACTTAGCTCTAACCTCAGCTCTAACTTAGCTCTAACTCAGCTCTAACTCAGCTCTAACTTAGCTCTAACTCAGCTCTAACTCAGCTCTAACTTAGCTCTAACCTCAGCTCTAACTCAGCTCTAACTTAGCTCTAACTCAGCTCTAACTCAGCTCTAACTCAGCTCTAACTTAGCTCTAACCTCAGCTCTAACTCAGCTCTAACTCAGCTCTAACTCAGCTCTAACTTAGCTCTAACTCAGCTCTAACTCAGCTCTAACTTAGCTCTAACTCAGCTCTAACCTCAGCTCTAACTCAGCTCTAACTCAGATCTAACTTAGCTCTAACTCAGCTCTAACTTAGCTCTAACCTCAGCTCTAACTCAGCTCTAACTTAGCTCTAACTCAGCTCTAACTCAGCTCTAACTCAGCTCTAACTCAGCTCTAACTCAGCTCTAACTTAGCTCTAACCTCAGCTCTAACTCAGCTCTAACTTAGCTCTAACTCAGCTCTAACTCAGCTCTAACTCAGCTCTAACTCAGCTCTAACTTAGCTCTAACCTCAGCTCTAACTCAGCTCTAACTTAGCTCTAACTCAGCTCTAACTCAGCTCTAACTTAGCTCTAACTCAGCTCTAACTCAGCTCTAACTTAGCTCTAACTTAGCTCTAACTCAGCTCTAACTTAGCTCTAACTCAGCTCTAACTTAGCTCTAACTTAGCTCTAACTCAGCTCTAACTCAGCTCTAACTTAGCTCTAACTCAGCTCTAACTCAGCTCTAACTTAGCTCTAACTCAGCTCTAACTCAGCTCTAACTTAGCTCTAACTTAGCTCTAACTCAGCTCTAACTCAGCTCTAACCTCAGCTCTAACCTCAGCTCTAACCTCAGCTCTAACGTGTCTGTGTGTCCAGGACTTCTGTCACGGTCAGGTGATGTGGCCGCCGCTGGCCGCGCTGCAGGTAAAGATGGCGGACCCTGGACGCTCGTGTAAACAGGTGTGTCAAGAGGAGCAGCTCATCTGTGAACCCTCCTTCTTCCAACACCTGAACAAGGACAAGGACCTGGCCCGGTTTGTACTACACTAATATTATTATTATTATTATCATATATTATATTAAAGACAAGGACCTGGTCCGGTTTGTACTACACTAATATACTAATATACTATCACTAATAAACTCTGCAGTGAACCGCAGAGAGTGTCATTACTGTTCTCACCACCAGGGGGCGGGTCGTGCACTACAGTGAAAGAAGCGGTTTCTCTTAGAGCAGGAAACTCAATGACTCTGTAGAACTGCAAATGTTTAAGTCTTCCATAAAATGTGAATAAATATATATATATATATACAATAGAGTTGGATTATTTAATATATATATATATATATGGATTATTTAATATATATATATATATTAAATAATCCAACTCTATTGTTCTGTTCGACACAGAACTTCGACAAGGAATTATATTTTTAAATGACTAAAACATCTGCTTTAGACTCTTCTATTGTGTTTTCTCTCTGCTCTCTCTATCTCTCCCCCTCTCTCTCCCTCTCTCCCTCTCCCTCTCCCTCTCTCTCTCTCTCTCTCTCTCTCTCCCTCTCCCTCTCTCTCTCCCTCTCCCTCTCCCTCTCCCTCTCTCTCTCTCTTCTCTCTTCTCTCTTCTCTATGGTTAAATATATGTGTGTCCGCCCACACACAGTAAACACATATTTCCAGTGTGTGTTTTCCCGAGGGTGGGGTCAGTCCTCCCCCACAGAGAAAGTCTTTATCGACTCTTTCTGTCGCTGCCAAAACACAATCTATGAATCTACAAAGTGTCTGTTGATATATTTACTCTCCTTCTCCTGGACTGTCTGACGGAGGAGTCCAGGTCTCTAAAGTCCATGTCTAACCTGTCTCTCTCTCTCAGATACGGCCTGGACTGTCTGACGGTGGAGTCCAGGTCTCTAAAGGACATGTCTAACCTGTCTCTCTCTCTCTCAGATACGGCCTGGACTGTCTGACGGAGGAGTCCAGGTCTCTAAAGTCCATGTCTAACCTGTCTCTCTCTCTCTCAGATACGGCCTGGACTGTCTGACGGTGGAGTCCAGGTCTCTAAAGTCCATGTCTGACCTGTCTCTCTCTCTCAGATACGGCCTGGACTGTCTGACGGTGGAGTCCAGGTCTCTAAAGTCCATGTCTAACCTGTCTCTCTCTCTCTCAGATACGGCCTGGACTGTCTGACGGTGGAGTCCAGGTCTCTAAAGTCCATGTCTGACCTGTCTCTCTCTCTCAGATACGGCCTGGACTGTCTGACGGAGGAGTCCAGGTCTAAAGTCCATGTCTAACCTCTCTCTCTCTCTCAGATACGGCCTGGACTGTCTGACGGTGGAGTCCAGGTCTAAAGTCCATGTCTAACCTGTCTCTCTCTCTCTCAGATACGGCCTGGACTGTCTGACGGAGGAGTCCAGGTCTCTAAAGTCCATGTCTAACCTGTCTCTCTCTCTCTCAGATACGGCCTGGACTGTCTGACGGTGGAGTCCAGGTCTCTAAAGTCCATGTCTGACCTGTCTCTCTCTCTCAGATACGGCCTGGACTGTCTGACGGTGGAGTCCAGGTCTCTAAAGTCCATGTCTAACCTGTCTCTCTCTCTCTCAGATACGGCCTGGACTGTCTGACGGTGGAGTCCAGGTCTCTAAAGTCCATGTCTGACCTGTCTCTCTCTCTCAGATACGGCCTGGACTGTCTGACGGAGGAGTCCAGGTCTAAAGTCCATGTCTAACCTGTCTCTCTCTCTCAGATACGGCCTGGACTGTCTGACGGTGGAGTCCAGGTCTAAAGTCCATGTCTAACCTGTCTCTCTCTCTCTCAGATACGGCCTGGACTGTCTGACGGAGGAGTCCAGGTCTCTAAAGTCCATGTCTAACCTGTCTCTCTCTCTCAGATACGGCCTGGACTGTCTGACGGAGGAGTCCAGGTCTCTAAAGTCCATGTCTAACCTGTCTCTCTCTCTCAGATACGGCCTGGACTGTCTGACGGAGGAGTCCAGGTCTCTAAATTCCATGTCTAACCTGTCTCTCTCTCTCAGATACGGCCTGGACTGTCTGACGGTGGAGTCCAGGTCTCTAAAGTCCATGTCTGACCTGTCTCTCTTTCTCAGATACGGCCTGGACTGTCTGACGGTGGAGTCCAGGTCTCTAAAGTCCATGTCTAACCTGTCTCTCTCTCTCAGATACGGCCTGGACTGTCTGACGGTGGAGTCCAGGTCTCTAAAGTCCATGTCTAACCTGTCTCTCTCTCTCAGATACGGCCTGGACTGTCTGACGGTGGAGTCCAGGTCTCTAAAGTCCATGTCTAACCTGTCTCTCTCTCTCAGATACGGCCTGGACTGTCTGACGGTGGAGTCCAGGTCTCTAAAGTCCATGTCTAACCTGTCTCTCTCTCTCAGATACGGCCTGGACTGTCTGACGGTGGAGTCCAGGTCTCTAAAGTCCATGTCTAACCTGTCTCTCTCTCTCAGATACGGCCTGGACTGTCTGACGGTGGAGTCCAGGTCTCTAAAGTCCATGTCTAACCTGTCTCTCTCTCTCAGATACGGCCTGGACTGTCTGACGGTGGAGTCCAGGTCTCTAAAGTCCATGTCTAACCTGTCTCTCTCTCTCAGATACGGCCTGGACTGTCTGACGGTGGAGTCCAGGTCTCTAAAGTCCATGTCTAACCTGTCTCTCTCTCTCAGATACGGCCTGGACTGTCTGACGGTGGAGTCCAGGTCTAAAGTCCATGTCTGACCTGTCTCTCTCTCTCAGATACGGCCTGGACTGTCTGACGGTGGAGTCCAGGTCTAAAGTCCATGTCTAACCTGTCTCTCTCTCTCTCAGATACGGCCTGGACTGTCTGACGGAGGAGTCCAGGTCTCTAAAGTCCATGTCTAACCTGTCTCTCTCTCTCAGATACGGCCTGGACTGTCTGACGGTGGAGTCCAGGTCTCTAAAGTCCATGTCTGACCTGTCTCTCTCTCTCTCAGATACGGCCTGGACTGTCTGACGGTGGAGTCCAGGTCTCTAAAGTCCATGTCTGACCTGTCTCTCTCTCTCTCAGATACGGCCTGGACTGTCTGACGGAGGAGTCCAGGTCTCTAAAGTCCATGTCTGACCTGTCTCTCTCTCTCTCAGATACGGACTGGACTGTCTGACGGTGGAGTCCAGCGCCGACACCGTGGTTCCCGCCTACAGCGACTCCAGACACCACTGCATCTTTCAGTCCGACCTGCTCCTGTTCAGCTGTGCGGGCGCTCACCCCACGTTGAGACGCATCTGCCCCTGTCGCAACTACCAGAAGGGGCAGGTGGCGCTGTGCAAGGACTGTCTATAGCAGCCGGTGCAGTTCCACGCTTTGGCCAGAGGGGGGCAGCAGATCAACTAGTGTGCATTCAGATACACAATTTCAAACACGCATATTTATTGTTTCTGAGCTACAGTACTGCGTTTGGACACCAGGGGGAGCAGCCAAAAGGAGACATGGACAGTACATTAAAGCCACAGCTGCAGTACCGTGTTTGCACACCAGGGGGAGCAGCCAAAAGGAGACATGGACAGTACATTAAAGCCACAGCTGCAGTACCGTGTTTGCACACCAGGGGGAGCAGCCAAAAGGAGACATGGACAGTACATTAAAGCCACAGCTGCAGTACTGCGCTTGGACACCAGGGGGCGCTGCTGCCATCTCACAATACTTGAATAGACTGCTTCTTTGTGTTTCGGCCAATCAGAAAGCCCCGCCCACGGCCCCAAAGTTGTATAGTTGGTAGGTTTGCACTGGAGCGGCAGAAAACACACACGTGACACGGTCTGGCCCTGTTCAGACCGGGTCCAGACCGGGTCCAGACCGGGTCCAGACCGGGTCCAGACCGGGTCCAAAGAAATGTGTGTGAATGAGGATGTTTAGCCTGATTTAGTTTCTTTATGTCATCGTCTTTAAACAGGCTGCAACAGTGGGTCACATTTAAGGTGGATCACATTTAAGGTGGACCATATTTAAGGTGGACCATATTTAAGGTGGACCACATTTAAGATGGACCACATTTAAGGTGGATCACATTTAAGGTGGATCACATTTAAGGTGGACCATATCTAAGGTGGACCACATTTAAGATGGACCACATTTAAGGTGGATCACATTTAAGGTGGATCACATTTAAGGTGGACCATATCTAAGGTGGACCATATCTAAGTTGGATCACATTTAAGGTGGACCATATTTAAGGTGGATCACATTTAAGGTGGACCATATTTAAGGTGGATCACATTTAAGGTGGACCATATTTAAGGTGGATCACATTTAAGGTGGACCATATTTAAGGTGGATCACATTTAAGGTGGACCATATTTAAGGTGGATCACATTTAAGGTGGACCATATTTAAGGTGGATCACAGTTAAGGTGGAATGTCGCTGGTCTTTGCTCGATGTTCACACGAGCAGTGGAGAAGCTTTTCTTATTTCTCTTTTTATCTGATATTTCTAATTCTCTTGTACCTTTTGGATCTGAAGCAGGTCCAAAACAAGTTCTTCCAGGATCAAAATTCAAGCTAAACTAGATCTATTAGAGTTTTGCTCGAGATCGATGAGAAAATTGGATTTAAATGACTTTAAATTCAACGCTTAAATTGTTTAATCCAACTCTATTGTTCAGTTCGACTTCTGATGGAGCCTTGGACAGATGTGGGCTCTCCACAGAGACCCATCAGAGCTTCTTAGTCCTGGTTTCTTCTTGATCCTCGGTTTTGGTCCCGGTCTGAACACGGCCTGTGTCTGTCCCAGTTTTACACTGTACAAAAACTTCAAAGTCTAGATTTTTATTCTGGAAAAGAAACTGGACTGGTTTGGTCCTGGACTGGTTTGGTCCTGGACTGGACGGCCGCAGCTGGACCAGACCCAGACCCAGACCTAGACCCAGTTATGTGAGACTCGTAGAGAGGCCAGTAGAGTTCTGTGTTGATAGAAATGGATTTATCTGTATTTTCTTCATATGGATTTGAAAAAGGGGGCGGAGTCTCTGGACCGCAGCTGATTGGTTAATGCCAGATGTGCACTACAGGACTACACTGTACTTGTTCTTTTTGTATTTATTTTGTACAAGCCTTTGTTTTGCTGGAAACTGTTTTTTTAATTTATAGAATGGTGTCTTTATTTATGGAGCGTGGTTTAAGGGAAAACTAAACATTTTTGGGAAAAGGAGAGAAGTTGTGATGGATTTGGGCGACAGCGAGAGGAAATCTAACTTTGCACAAACTTTTATCTTTAAAACATCTTTAACATCAACTTTAAGTTTTTAACAAGGCCATGTCAGTATCTATAGTTTTACAGTCATATGTTTAGTCCCTCCCCTCGGCTTCACTTGGCTTGACAGTTCAACCAATGACAAGGCGCCTTACAGATTTGAATTATTGTCGACCAATTAGAAGGCTGCAGGAGGTAGAATGGGCGGAGCTAACCAGAGCTTGTTCATAAAAACTGTCACTTTGACTCGGAGCCGACTCGGAGCTGAGAATGCAGCTCTGTTTCCATAGCGAACTGTTAGCTCTGTTTCCATAGCGACCTGTTATTGTTAACCGTTATGTTCCAGTGTGTTCTCTAACATTGCTGGATGGTTGTCCTCTCGCCGTCGCCTCAGAATCCAGAGATTTCTCGTCTGTTTCTTTCACAACGTCACCTTAATTTCATAAGTTTTTGTACTTTTTGTTTTTTTTAAGTCTCAAATCCGTCGCCAAATGTAGTGTTTTTGAATATCATAACGTGCCTTTTTTACAGCCCGTGCTCGCGTCGCAGCTTGTGTCCAGAAGAAGTAAAGTAGATTCTGAATAATTCCATCTTTGATCAGACGTAAGAGTTTTAAAAAGAAAAGATTATTATTATCTACAAATGATCCGGATCTGGCTGTTTCTGTGTTTGATCTGTTCCCACTTTGAAAAGCAGTGACATCACAAACTAGCTTTAGCTTCCGGTTTAGCCGTCGATAAAATACATTTGTTTTGTTATTATTTCATTCACATTGATGCCACTTTTTCTTTAGTTTCAAAAGAAAAAAACTGTTTAAACGAAAGAAACGCCGTCGACCAAAATCTCCCAAAAATGTTCAAATATGAAACTGGAAACTTCAAACCGAGACTTTAGGCCTCGGCCTCGGTTCTTTCATGGATCTTACGTTCTCTGGTTCAGTATATTTCTGTAGAAGTGGGTTTGAGGAGACTCCGACACAAACTTGGACACGTTTCTTTGACATCAGTGACTTTTGGTTCATTTTGTTTCTTTGGTTCAAAAGTCCATTTTCTTTTGTTGAGGAAAAGCTGAGGTTCGTTCAGTGACGAAGGAGACGTCAGAGGGATATAACTTTATTTTTAAATAAACCTTTTTTCTGTGACAAAGGCTTCGTTTAACATTGTTTACATCACAGCAAAACACTTATTTACACCTGTGCTTTATGTGCGCCTGTGCCCAGAGCGAGAGAACCACGCCTCAAATGGGAGAAACTCCAGAACCTTCAGACCAGGGTCCAAGAAAAGGACAGATTATACAGATAAAGTGAACGGCTCAGAGCTAGACTATATTAGGGGAGCTGAAGTTGGCTGGATGACTCTGTGAAAGTGCCTCAATGGATAGTTTAGGATCAAGGCAGAGGGCCACATCAAAGGAAACCGTGGGCCGCTTTTGGCTCGCGGGCCTCGGTTTGGACGTTTGCACCCTTCATCCTGTGGGATCTGTGTCCTCTGTGTCTGTCAGGAGCCGTGGTCGCCGTAGCAACAGAGCCCAGGACCCGGCTCCAGGTCCTGAGGTTCTGGTCCGGATCAGCACAGGTCCTGGAGGATTTACTTATTTAAACCAAAGATGTCAATGTGAAAGTTAATAACGTTTTAGTGTTTGCTTCGTCGTCATTCTACGACGTCTAAAGTGTGTCTGAATCTTTGTCAGTGAGCACTTCTCCTGCTCTGAGACAATCCACCTCTCAGCAGTTGTTATTTACATGGACAGTCTAATGGTTAAAGGTTTGAAGGATTTTCCCATTTTTTAGAAAGAACCGCCCTCTGCACTTTGTGAACAAATGTCTCTAATCTTATTGGACGAGCTCGAATCACCAGAATGATTGACACCTGGGAGGACCAATAATCTTGATGATCCGCCCGGAAGTAGAAAATCCTCTTATACACCTTTAAATCTCTTGTTTTTCTTCCATTTTGACGTCGTTCACTTCTTACCTCTCAATAAATAAGATAAAAAAATAATATAGAATTTCTTCATTGTTGTTGTGGTTGTCGTCATGGTGATCGTCGTCATGGTGATCGTCGTCATGGTGGTTGTCGTCATGGTGATCGTCGTCATGGTGATCATCGTCATGGTGGTTGTCGTCATGGTGATTGTTGTCATGGTGATCATCGTCATGGCTATCGTCGTCATGGTGATCGTCGTCATGGTGGTGGTCGTCATGGTGGTTGTCGTCATGGTGGTCGTCGTCATGGTGGTGGTCGTCATGGTGACCGTTGTCATGGTAGTTGTCGTCATGGTGGTGGTCGTCGTCATGGTGATCGTTGTCATGGTAGTCGTCGTCATGGTGATCGTTACATTCAGAAACACTGATGGATTAAGGCTTTGGATTAAGCTCGATGGAAACGTCACAATTTCTTAAACTACGTTTTTTAAACAGACTCCTGTGAACATCCATCAGACCAGTCTCGGTTCTCAGCCTCAGACTGGATCTAGTCTTGGTTCTCAGCCTCAGACTGGATCTAGTCTTGGTTCAGGGGTTGTCTAGTTAAAAAATAAAAATAAACTATATTTGCTCTGATACAATGTGCCCCCAGTGGTGGAACTGAGTATTGGTAAAAACAACCAAACGTCCCTCTCTCCCCTTCTCTCTCTTTCTCTGTCTCTGTCTCTCTCTCTCTCCCTCCTCCCCCCTCCCTCTCTCTCTCCCCCTCCTCCCCCCCTCCCTCTCTCTGTGCTTCTGACAGACAGTAAAACATTGGTCTCCTGTTATTGGAGCATGGGTTTACTACACCTCACCACACATTATTATTATTATTATTATCATCCTCCTCATCATCATCACTGCAAAACTACAGCTGGAGTGGAATCGTTCACAGTACAATATTCAAATATATATTGACTCTCAACTCTATTCACATATGTAAACAGTTCCCTCGTGCAGACAGCAGGTGGCGCTAGTGTCTTAAGTACATGTCATGGATCCTCCAGACTGACCGTGTGCTAAGATTGTAGGTGCAGCTGGGTTGCCAGAATTGCAACATTACAGGACTATTTTGGCATCTGTTGTTTTCAGGTTTGGACTAAATCGGTCCTTCAGATTCTGGAACACGTC